GGTCATCCGTTAATGGATGAAACACTTGCAGTATACGATAAATCCATGGATGGGTGGCGTGGTGGATAAACAGAAGGCGTTCGATCAATGGAATACTTTGAAATCAGTGATTCAAAAAACTGGAGTTGAGGTAAGACAAATTTTTAATGCGTACACAAATAGTTGTATAAAATCGATGAATTTATATTTGAATTTACAGTTTTCATAAAAGTGAGTTGGAAAACATATTGTCCATCTTCATTGCGACATTACTTTGACAATTCGCTTAATTACATTGGTAAATCCATCTTTTAGTTGTTTCGGCTGGGTCTATCATCTCATTCAGCTATCGAAAGAGCTCAACTATTACTTTGACAATTACAACCGTCGGAATATCGCTGTTCAATTTCAGGTTTTAACGTTGGACCAAGTGCAAGGACTACCAGATATGGTATTCGTGTGTAATAGTGGTTTAGTGCTAAACAATAAGGTCTACTTGTCACGTTTTCGACATAAGGTTCATTTGCTTTCATTCAATGTTGTGGGTGATTTGGGATTTGGTTAATACCAATAGATCAAAAAGAACCACACAACTGATCAGGTTTAGTCGCAATCATAGGCGATTTAAACGCCTAGCAAACGTTAATTTTATCGAGACTGAACCAGGCTATTGAACCATTGTTTGCATTGTATCTAAGCATCTATTGAAAACATTATTATTATTAACTTTACGGTATGTCATTGATCATTTAAAGTTTCGATATATATCAACAGAGGATTTCATACAATTTGATAGGATTTGATAAGAGTTCGTAATTTTAATTCTAGGAAAGGACTGGCGAGCAGGAGCATTATCTGAAATGGTTCAAAGCGAATGGTTTCGAGACGGTTGGTGACGATTATCCGGAATTCTTTGAGGGAGGCGGCGATGCAGTTTTCTCAACCTATGATACCCTTTGGGCTGCGTATGGACCAAGATCTAGCAAATCTGTTAGTTCGTACCTTTGAAAATGGTGAATGTCAAGTGAAAATCTACTTACAATTAGATTCAAATGAAAATATTTCACTTTGTCAGCTTGAGGTTTGATCTATTTGGTTTTGATATTTGATTTCAATTTTTGATACTGATATTTGTTTTTTATTTGATATTTGACACATATTTCAGTTTTCGGTCTGAAATGATCAAAATTTCCACTGCTTTCATTCAATAGCATAAAATTAATTTCTTTATTGGCACTTAAAAATTTAGAATTAATTCTTCATATAATGCACGTTGACTACAATCAACATGAATTCAACAACACTATTCTTTTTGTAATAATGCTAATTTCAGGTTTACGATCACGTTAGAAAGCTTGGTGAATTCGATTTGGTACTATGCGAACTGACGCATCCTGAATTCTATCACTTGGACACCTGTTTTACACCGGTCAGCGAGAAATGCGCCTTATGGTATCCACCTGCCTTTCAGGAACCAGCCAAAAAAGAAGTATGTCATTGACTTTGTTTGCTTGCAGACTTCGAAGTAATTGATCATCTCTTGATCACTTTTTATCGTTTTCATGATCGATATAACCATTGAGTTGATTTTTCGATATTATATCGATTTAAAAGGAATCTAGAGGCCCAGTGGCTAATCTTTATGATTCGTATGAAAATTTTCCACTTTTCATGAAATGTGAATGGCTGAATCCTTCTTTGACCTTATGTAGCTAAAGGATAACTTCCATAAATCCAAGTGTAACGTAAAACTAATTTTAAGCATAATGCAAATCCCAAATCCAATTGGCATTCTACAGTACACAGTATACGCTGTTAATTTCATAGATTATGAAACGAATGCCCGACTCTGTGGCTGTTAATGATGCTGAAGCGAAGGCTTTCGTTTGTAACGCGATTACGGTACGAAATACAGTAATAGCGCCC